CCGAAAAACTCATAAAAAAAAAAAAAAAAAAATTTGCAATCAGAAGCCCAAGCACAGTGACCCAAGTGGGAGGGTGCCTGGTTCCCAACCTAAAAGGTCTGGCAGTGGCTGGAGCAGGAGGATCAACAACATGGAGAGATACTGCCAAAATACCTTTCTTTCCCTCCTGTTCTGTCATTTTTTTTAAAAAGGAATCAAATGTTCACCAATAAAGTAAAATAATAATGCAGCATTTAAAAGTGATATATTTAGCAAACTGTAAGTGGAACTTTTCTTAAATTATATTGTTTTTTAACTTGGTACAGGGCATGTGTGCTCACCAGAGAGAGCGTGAGCGAGAGGAAAGGTGAGAAAGCAGGCCGCCAGGTCTGGGACTCAGACCACAGTCAGCCATGTGGGGATCTAGTGGCTTAACTACCGTGCCACTGGGGCCAGTAGGTGGCATGATGGTTAAGGGTGCTGGACTCCCACACGACCAACTGCAGTTTGACTCCCGGACCTGGCGGCTTGCTTTCTCATTTTCCTTCTCTCTCCCTTTGTCCCTCTCTGGTCAAATTTAAATAAATGAAGTTAAATAATTCTTTAAAACAAACAAAAAAAACCTACCATGCCACCTGCTAGCCCCACACATGTAAATAATAAATGGAAGGAAAACCTAGAGACTTATAGACTCAAGAGACATGATAGCCAACTGTAATGTATGGAACATATGTGGATTTTGATTTGTACAATCTATATATTTTTTTATCACATTTGAGACAACTGGGAAAATTTGAATACTGAGTATAGAGTTTTATAGTTTAAGAAAATACTATTTTCTTTTTTTAGGAGTCTTCATCTTTTATAGATGTATATTGAATGATCTGCTGGTGAAATGTTGGGGATTTGGTTCAGAAAATTTCAGGGGAAGGGGGAATAGGAGTATAAATAAAGCAATTGTTATTCTGAGCTTTGTTATTCAATACGTTTGTATATGTTTAAAATTTTTAATACATTTTTTATTCTTCCCACTTACTAAGTGAAAGAAGTGGGTTCACAAAACATGATTCCACTGTATACATGTATAAATACACCCGTCCCAAGTATACAAGTATATATCCCAAGAAAACAGGTCTCTCCCTTACTACTACCCAGTAGAACTTCATATAATGATGGGCAAGATCTGTAATCTGCGTCGTTCAAAACAATAGCCACTAGTTACATGTGGCTATAGAGGTAGCTCTTAAAGCAGATCAGTACTGAGCTAGTCAGTGGCACGGTAGTGAAGGCAGCTGGATCTCACATGGCCAACTGCATGGTTCGAAGCCCGAACCTGGTGGCGTGAGAACCACACAGGGTGCATATGCATGCATGCCCAAAATCCCAAAAGGAGGGAGAGATGGGGGAGAAGGGGGTACAGCATGACCATTCCCCATGGAGGATACTTTCTCATGTCCTCTCTCTGTGTGTCTGTCTATGGCAAGCACGTGTCCCCTATGCCAAATTTTTAAAAACTGAATCAACAGGACTAAAAAACTGAACTTTGTCTCATTTTAATAACTGCATGTGGTGATAGATTTAAATATGAACAGCACAAGTGCATTTACCTTATCATTATTTAAACTTGTAAAAGTAGTTTGTGTGACCAACAGATGGTGTAATGGTTATATTGCTGGACTCCCACGTGGTTGGCCACAGTTTGAATCCCGGACCCAGCAGCCTACAACTCATGCCAGACACGTGTGCATGCATGCCCAAGATCCCGAGAGGAAAATGGAGAAGGGATTGCAGCATAGTCATCCCCCCGAAGGGTGATTTCTTGCTCACGCTTGCTCTCTCTCTCCAGTGAGCCCATGCACCCTATAGCAAAAATCTATTAAAAAAAAAAAAAAGGCAGTTTATGCAATAAGGAACAAGTAGGCTGTTTTGTTTTCATTTAAAACATTTATTATCAGTGTGGGTTCTCTTCACAGGACTATTCTAAAAATGAAATAAAGCTGAATAAATCAAGTTACAAGGAAAAAAGTTTATGTGTTGTTTTCAAGTCGTTTTTTAAGGAAGCAAAAGAAAACAATTCTGTTCTTTCAACCCTTCATCCCTTCAATCCCAACTCATATAAAAACATGTTTCTGCCTGTTGTTTGTTTACTAACAGGACTGAGTGTGACTATGTTGCCTAGATTAGGAACTTCAACAGATATATCAATCATAATGGAAAAAATTAGAGTAAAAGCCAAAGGAAGGTATTTTTGATTTTTCAGCCAATGAAGGGGGGGGGGGGTAATGGGTGTAAACAACTCTATGACCAGACAGAAGGAAATACTTAAAAGATCACAAAGGATTTCTTGTTAAAAGCAATTAGCCAAGAGGATTATGGAGATCAATCTGAAAGGGCCAGAAAGAGATACAGTGCCTTAAATAGAACAGATGTTAACAGATATGTCTGCAGTGTAGTTCACAAGTGAAGTCTGAGCATAAAATAACTATGCCAGAAGATTTTTATTGACTTATTGTAATTTTTCAGCATACAAAGAACTTAATCAAGTATAATATTTACAATTCTTACATAATGTACATTTTAGAATAGCTATAAAGATAATGAATTCTGTTTTCATGTACAATGACAAACTATAGTAAGCTACATTCATGAATTAGATACAAATCCTCTACATACTAATAAAAAGTAAATGGAGTGTTGGTTATACATTCTGTAAAATATACCTTTATACAGGTAGTAAGAAATATTACATGTAATAAGTCTTTATGACTGGAATGATCCAGAAATATCACAAAACACAAGTAAACATATAGAAAAGTAGCTTGTCATTTCCAAAAGTTAACCTTTAGCCTTTGTGCCAACAATCTTTATAATGCAGCAAGCTTTCCCTGTTCAAAGTTAACACCTAAAGAAGGGGAGGGCGAGGTTTGAGAAAAAATACGAAAATCTAGAAAATAAGATAGTGAAACAGCTAATGCAGAGAAAAGTTTATTTAATCAAACCTTTGCTTTGACCCCACATTATCCCCTTTTAAGTGGACAGATTTATACAAACAGAAAAGGATGTCCACAAAACTGTATTTACAGATGTTAGGATCCAATCTAAAACCAAGCCCTTTTAGGTATCTTATATTTGGAAGCATCAAGAAATTGCTAAGTATATGGTGAATTAAAATTATCTTTATCATATTTTGCTTTCATTAATGTTGATTACTGCAAAAATACAAAATTTTCTCTACAATTTGAGGTCTCCAAATCTCAATCTATTCCTCTGAACCTCATTTCCAGGCCAGGTTCTCTGCAATATTTGGAATCTTTGTTGTCAAAACATGAGGAAAGCTGGCAGGCATTATCAGATTTTGCTGCTATACAATGATTTCAAATCACTCCATGCTACGAGTAAAGTGCCTCTGACAAGTACTCAGTCAGGCCTGGTTCATGGTGTCAGCTCTGCCACCAACTAGCGAACCGAGTAAACTCTGAAACAAGAGGAGCAGACTAGGATCGAAACAACAGATGACCCAAGAAACAGATGCTGCTGGAACACTTGGATTAAGATCTCCAAAGTTCTACTATGAGAATCAGGTGACATAAAGTAGTGCCGAAGTCCGCTGTAAGGAACCAACCAGTACACGAAAGTGTTCCCTTTTCACCTTGTTTCATCCCACTCTTTGATTTGCGAAGAGCTTTGAATCCAAAGGGGTAGTGACTGCTCGTGCAGTGCTCTTCCCACCACCTCATGTAGCTCTAAAGTCATTCTGGACAGACAGTCTGTAAAAATATATCCTTCTTCCAGCTCATGTCCATGGTCAAAAGTGCTATCATACAGAAGGGTTTACTTCACAATATAAGAGTGATTTGGGAATGTCTGATTATCCAAAACAGGTAGTAAATTTACTCTTAACGCACACATGGTTTATTGTGACCATACTTCGAGTGTAAAATTGTATTTTTAAAATACTAACAAATTAGAAACTTCAGTTTTCTAAACATGAAGGGATGTGTGTGTGTGTGTGTGTGTGTATGTATGTATGTGTGTATATATATATATATATATGTATATGTATATGTATATGTCGAAGCACCCAAAAAATGCAACTTGACAAAGAACCAAAGTATATATTCCAAATTATGTATTTGGGTAAGTAAATACAAAAGTTCATTAAGATCTACAGTGAAAATTGGTACAAATTAGGCAAACACTGTAAGATAGTGAATCCCTGGAAACATCTGAATTTCTAAGGATTGTGGTTATGGTCATTTTTAAAACCTTAGAAATCTCAAACGCGTACATGTTGCAATGAAGCACTGTAAGTAACTGTTCATTTACCACTATTCTAGTTCTAACATGAACTCTTCGTAGTTTGTGCTGCTGTTCTTACTTGATATGAATATGATTTTTAGGTTAATAAGCTAATGATAGTAAGCATAATAGGAAACTAATATCAGCAAATCAGTTACGGAAAAACTAAAGGGCAGTCACAGACTAACAAGCCCAGGAGTATGTAGCGCCGTTTACATTATAGTTTTTCATAATGCACTGAATAGTCCCCCGTATATCGTATTACACAGAAGCTATTAGCCGACACAGTGAAATCCACCCAGGACCCAACCTACCTTGTAACAACTGATTTCATTTAAAGCCTTGCATTTACTCTGTTTCTGCCAAATTCACTTCAAGGTATGTCTCAGGGCATTCAAAAAATCGAGCCACAGAAATGTATTTTTGAGTTGTCAGCATCTTTGCAATATTAAAGACTTAGCTTTCTCTGGAGATACTCAGAACCATGATCATCTTCGGGACACTTCACATACATCTCTAACCATTAAATTTAAGTAGACACTAATTACTGCCACATCACAGCTCAGGTCACAAGCTGCAGGAGCTAGAGGAGCATGCGGAGTTGCCTTAGCAACCACAGAGATCCCAGAGGTAATCCCGAAGCACCCAAGGCCTGATTCCCAGCCCCCCCCCCAACCCCCCCCCCCAAAAAAAAAAAAAAAAACTCCCCAAACTTCCTCAGATACAGGTCAGGAGCATGAGGAGTGAAGTCCTACAGTTAAAGGGGAGCAGGCACTACAAAGGAAGGCAGGCTTCTCTCTTTCCTTCTGTTTAACATACTTCTTTTCCTTGAGCTTTCTAGACAATTTGTTTCAGAGCACACTCTCACAAAACATGATACAAGTCAGACTTTTACCTTTAAATAAAGTACCGAAAAAGCCAAGTAACGTGACTCTGAGGTGAATGAGAGGAAGGTGAAATGTTCCTGTTAATTACAACAGTAGTTGTAATTAAAACAAAATGCTTTGGAAGTTAGCATTTCTTCAGAAATAACTCACAAGTATAATTTTATCCTTGTCTAATACATAGTGATGATTACTAAGTAAGCATGACATACATGCAGTTTGGCCACATTATGGAACCTTTCCTGTGATGTGAATTTATTTTGGTATAATTCCCATTTGGGTAAAATATGATTTTATGAAACTCTAGTTATTGTAGGGGGAAAAATACTAAAATGCATTATCTATCCTATTAAATATAATTTATGTTCAAAACCTTTATTATTTAGAAATAATATTATTTGCATATAATTTATTTTTAAAAAATGAAACTTAGTTGTTGGCAACATTTAAGGAACCTTAGGCAAATTACTTAATTATTCTATACTTTTGATAAGATATGTCAGTCAAAGATGGAATCAGACTAATTTGTAGCTTCTTAAGGGAAGTAAGTAAATCCATAATATTTTGGAATTTAATAGTTATGATTCATGTAAGCAAACAGTAAAATTATATACATGATATAATTTAAAAGAACGTAAACTGTGCACAGGTACACAGTATAGATGTAGAAAAAAACAATTTGTTGCTGCGTAGTTGCATATAAACTAGAAAAAAAAAAGTGGTTTTCCTCTTCCTTTGTACAGATTTTTCTTTCACTGGGAACAATAGCAAAAATGCATTTAAAAAAGGATACATTCAAGTACTATAAAAATGCTCTACATTATTTTATAAATGAACTTGTCTTTTGAATGTTAGATTTTGATGAAAGCATAATTTTGCAACATTCAGTAACCTTAGAAACACAGTTTTATTACATGGATAAATTGGTCAAGGTTTTAGGAAATCAACCCCAAGATAAAGAATTACAACTTCTAAACTGATGCTTCTGTTATTAAAAAACAAAAGCCAACAAAAAAGAAACAACTAAAGGCTTCTTTTTGTTTCATAAAAGGTCTAATTCTAAAAGGCGGAACTCTGTCTACCTGTACAGTTAGTACATGCACACGGAAGTCCTGGGCAACAGCCTGTGATCTAAGGAGCACAACCAAACATAGTCTCTATTCTAATCATTAAAGCATACATTATGTGTATGGGGGCTAGGCTACCCTAAAACACGCAAAAAACATACATACACACACACACCTACTTCTGGATGACTACGAAGCATCATGGAAGCTAAGAAAAGCAGGCACAACATCTGCTCCCCCTTGACGCAGACATGCTTGACTGAATGATCCTGGGTATCATGGGGAAAAAAATCAATGCTATCACTCATTGGCAAACAAAAAGAGAGGGAGAGAGATAATGTCTAATCTTTTCAGCATCTTACAACCTACAGATGGCTTAAGTCTAACCAACTTTATCTATTAAAAACAGCCCTTTAAACAAAGGCTTTTTTTTTTTTTTTAAATAGGTCCTAAAGTAGGTTCTAACCCCCCCCCCAGCTATATTTCAATTTATAAAAATATCCATGACTGGGTACCTTTTTTTTTTCCCAAACTTTTCATTCTCTAGCAAATTAAGTAAGTAAAATGAAAGCAGTAAAAATTTGTAAGTTTTCAGCTGTACACATTAGGGGGTCACCAGATTTCATATTTCCCCCTTCTTAAAAAATTTCAGAATTTCTGGGAATCTTGCTGGAAACGATTTAGCTTCTCTGGGTTATTGGATGCCATTTGGGAAAAATCACGAAAAATGTCCTGGTATGTTTCATCACCTGCACAAAGTAAAATAAGAACATTTTAAAAATGTATACGATTAACGTATTCATAAAACATTTATTTTTATGATGGCTATTTTATGATACATTACATTAAAAACTAATTTATATTTGCATTTTGGGAGGGAAAAAGGCCAATGGAATATAAATTCCAGGAAGGTATATAGTGAAAGGAGAAAAAAAAAAAAAAACTATACCTGAAAAAAGCACCTCAGATGCAGCCACAGAGGAAAGTTCAGAGTTAGAAAGGAGCAAAGATGCAAGTGTTTTAAAGCAATATAAAGAAACACATTTATTAACATGTGAGAAATAAGTCATTCTAAATGAAGTAAATAACACATTCCTAAAAATAAGTATCTCCCTTGATAAAGGCCAAAAGAAATAACCAAAACCAAATACTAGTGTTTCTGATGGATGCAAGTTATTATTAACAAAACAAAATGAATAATTTGGTGGCGAAGAAACCTATTTTACCATATCTTTTCATTGAAAGACATTTAAATTAAAATAGCATGTGAAAAAGTAATTCCTTACTCAAGCTTTAAAACTTAGTTAAAACAAATGCAACTAATCTGCTTACTAAGCTTATAAAATAAAAAAGCCTAGAAAATGATTGTTATTGAAATAATTGTTTTACATATAGTCAGATTTTATTTACTATATGTCATATGTTAAAGAATGCTACTGACCAAATGGGAGTAAATACCAAAGACATCTGTTAAATTAGAATAATAAACGTGTATATGTACAAATATACTTACAGAGAAGTGGATTGTAGATACTGATATTACAGTAGGTTGAATATTTTTGTTTTGCCATGAGAAACTAAATATCTACATGCACACAGATAGATGAATCCCTCAGACAAAGGAATCTTATTCAAGGTGACTCATTCATCACGAATGCTTCCTGCTAAACATTAGTTCTATATTGACGCTTGGCATAATTCTGCTCTCAAGGTTTAGACCGTAAAATACTGTTTTAGATGATTGTTGTTGCAACATTTAAAAAAATGACTTCCCATAAGATACCTTGCATCCATCTTGTAACAAACTCATTACTACAGTGGTTGTTAACAGTGCAGTAAATTTTGTCAGTTTCTAAAAAGCAAGATTTTTGAGGCAATTGATGTCATACCAAAAGTAAAGATTTAGTAAAAAGTTGAGGGAGGGGGATAAAGATCTAGTAGAAAGGTCTAACAGCATAAACCAAGATTGTCAATTAAAATTTTTAATATTTTAATACTTAGTCACTTTTAATATTTATTCCATGTAAAAAATTATTAAACTCTCTATATAGTTTTCATTTAACCCTGGAAGCTATTAAACTCTATATATAGCTTTCATTTAACCCTGAATCAATCAAATAAACCTAATCAGTCTACTTTAAAAAGAAAAATAAGAAGAAAAGACTCTTAGCAGGTTGGCTGAGATTAACATCTAACTAATTATTATTTAAAACAAAAATAAAGGTTGATATATTGGAACAACTAGGAAGACAATCCAGTTATACCCATGATTTCTTAAAAGTTTACTTCCATATTAAAAGACAAAGTACAATCTATTCCCATTTTCAGTCATTCTAAAAGAAATAAAATAAACTGAGAAGAGAGTAACATTAAATAGCAATTAATAAACCATACAAAATATTTTTAAATGTTTCTTATTCTTAGATGTTGAATTAAAATATTTAAAATATTTATTGTAAACATTATAAATATTTTAAAAATACTATTTAAACTTAATAGTCTAGGATTTTACTTTCCAAGAAAGTGTAAAGTGCAGATTATAATACAAAAATACCACACTGATTTTACCATTCGACACCAGATGAAACTTAAAAGGCACACATTATACATTCAAGAAGAAATAGGAAGAAGGATCTAGCAGACGGTAATGCCAAATAGTTTACGGATAGCACCAGATGAGCATTCGGAAGAGTTACAACAGTACAATGGCAATATATGGCTTCTACTATTAGCAATGCATATTTTTATAACAAGATGTGGTATCTTTTTTTTAACGGTTTTCCAGGTTTTGTTTTTAAATCATCTGGTACCTATTACACAAGTACATTTTAGTAGAACCATTGTACCATGCAAACAAATTGTAAGACTTTTCATTCACTGAACTGAATGCTTCCTTGAAGTAAAGTGTTGGTGCATCATATAATATCATTGGTTTCACTGACTGAATACATCTTAAAAAGTTAATACAATACAAAAGGAAGTTTTCACCTTCATACACACATACATAACTTTTTGTTAATATTCAGTTTCTAACAAAACACTAATGCACTGTTAATATAGTACCTTTCTTAGACTTTAAGGTGTTGTCAAAAGCAAATGTTACACGATGTTACAAGAACAGTAGTGACTAAGGTATTTAATATAGCTAACGTAAGTGAAACTTCAATGTGATTATTTAACATTTAAATATAATTTTAATCACTTGGAATTCTTCCCAAGATAAACATAATTTGTCTATACTAGAACACATAAACTACCACCCAGAATATGCTGCCCTGGATTATTCCCAGAAGTACGTTTAACGGTCTCTTATAAATAGTAAACCACTAATCACCCAGTATTTATAACATTAAGCATATTCTTTAAGTTACTTAACCACATTCTATGTCCTTTCAGAGAGTTAACATTTCTATGTGCCTAGACATTCTAAGTTTTTTCAGTGTAGACTGCTGTGTTTATACTGAGCTTAACTTCCTTTTTAATTTTTGGTATGCAGAATATTCATCACAACTGCAGTTATGATGATGACTCAAGAATTTGCTGATTTTGCTCCTGAAATGCTCTCCCTCGAAGGGATGGCAGCCCGTGAGACCCCCTGCCCGGGGTCACATGCATCATCTGCCCCTTCTGGGTTGGTAGCAGCTTCCTTGTCATGACTGACTAGATCTGTCATTCCCAACCTTTGTCCATTGCATACTCGCATAACCGTTAGTGGTTCCTGGAGTCACAGGACCAGACGCTGTGGAAACCACCAAACTAGTTGTTGGGAACCAACAATTCAGAGAACGGTGTGCTGTTTCCCTCATCCACCCAGGCCTACTAAAAGTTTTACGGACTGCTCAAGAGTGGCATTTACTCCCTTAAAGAAATTCGTGCTTTTACCTCACTTTGCAAAAAATAGGGAAACCAGGTCCTTAGAATTGTAAAGAAAGTTCAGAAGTGAGGTGTTCCTAAGAAATAGGTCCATGACTGCCAAAAGTGATATCTGAGTCTCTTAAATAATAGGATTCTTCATTATCAAAAGATCGAAAATACCTGTATTTCAAATTTACTGAGTGCTGAGGTTTTCTTTCTATTGCTAGGATAATCAAAAAGTTTCCCACAAACCATCCACCCAAGTCTGTGAGAGAAAAATTTACAGTAATAAGCAGAGGAAAACCGAAGAGTCGCTACCTGAGCCAAATGTATCCGCTCTCCAAAGACTCATAAAGGGAGAGAAAAGTAACCAGAGAGCGATTGCCATGCCATTTCACCACATCACCTGTATAAGTATAAAATTATTCTGCTTTAAGTATCAGACCCTCTGAATGAGTTAAAAACCTAATTGTTTTCAAAGATAATCCTCAAATAAATTTAAAAAGTCATGTTTTTCGGATATACTATTTCCAGAATTCTGATCTATTTTTAACCTCTCAAATGAAATTTGAGAATGAGAGGAAAGCATGTTTGAAAATTTTCATTAACATAAAAAAACTAGAAAAATCTATTTTTCCACTGATGAGTGGAAGGTATATATATAAACTTATACATAAATGACAGTGAAAGAGACATCAGAATGCTCCTAACTGGTAGCAGCAGAAGCCCAAGCAATTTGGAACAAGAGGTGGCAAGAACATAGAGGCCTTGCGTCCTTTCCAGCTTCCCGACTCCAGAGAAGAGTCGAGCACTGACCTTCTGACTAAGCAGTTGGTTGTACATCATCAGCAAACACCTTAGGGCTATCTGTTGCCTATAAGAAACTGACCTTATGAATAAAGACATACATAGACTAAAAGTGAAGGGCTGGAAAAAGATATTCCATGCAAATGGAAATCAAAAAAGAACTGGAATTGCAATGCTGATTTCAGAAAAAAAAAAAAAAAAAAAAAAAAGTTCAACTTAAAATCTTGAAATTCACTCTTATCTCACAATTATTAGGTCCTACCCTTTGAACAATTTCTAGCTTAAAGTGCTTAAACATAAAGGCCTTAAAAATGGCCTTATAATACTGTTGCTTAAGTATATATGCTACAAAGGTGTGACTTACTGAAAAATCTAACATTCAAGTCTAAAACAAATGAGTGAAATCCCGAAAGAAGGCTGGTGTTTCACCCTTAACCAGCACTCTTATATCGTGGAATATCACAAGTCAGTAGTACTGTATGATCCATAGGATTAAAGTGGGACACCCTAGAATGTAAGTATCTAGCTCAAGTGCCTCTATTCTCTAAGTTCTTACTATTTCTCTAATAAATTGGGCCAAAAATAAGTAGCAAATATAACCTTCTGAGGAAAGAATGGCCCCCACATTGATATTAATTATACATTAATCTGGTTAAAATAAATGGCTGAGGGTAGTATAAAGCACAGAAATTTCTAAACTTATTTAAGCAACAAGAATAAATTACTAGGGCACTTCTAAAATAATGTATCAGTATCCATTTTTTAAAAATTGAATATACTCTGTAAACTGAACATTCTCAAGAATTTTGGCCATGAATTCCTGAAACTTTTTACTGTAATGTATATGAATTTAAAGCAAATATATTAATAAGTCATCTACTCAAATTCATTAAACCTAGAAATCTGACAATTAGTCTCTGCTTTGTGAAGAATGTCTAATCCACACAGATTCATCAAAAAAGAAGAATCTGATCAGCAACATTTCTTCTTTTTCTTGGTATCTTGACTTAAAGGTGAAAATTATTCAAAATGAAATTCAAGGCGATCACAAATTAAGATCTCTCTAACAAGAGTAAGTCTGCTTCGCCATAAGGTTCACAAAATACTGTCTGTCCTAAATACTTCCACTTATCCAACAGACTGTGCATTTGCTTGGGGCAAAGCTAAAGCTAAAATAAGACATTTTCCTCCACCTTTTAAACTGGCCCCACTCCCATTATGGACTTTCTCAACCTGCTGGTACATTTTTAGTTTAAATCCAAATCTTCAACTCATTTTTAGATTGGAATATAAAATTCATCAATAAACTTTTTCTTGGTATTTTTCCATACCGACTTTTTATATGCCAAACACAAGATGATTTTTTTTTCCCTGAACACAATTTATAGAAATTCCCTGAATAACAAAAAGGAACAATTCTGTTATATTCACTTGACAGCTAAAAAGAATTCCAAAAAGAAAACAATTATTTTGCTGCTGTAACTATATAAAGAATACTTTTACCATTCCATTCACTTCACTGGAATGTGTATATGGAAGACACCTGTACAGCACATAAAGAATCAGCAGCCAGAGTTAAATACAGCAAGTAAATCTGTACTGTCAGAGGAATACTTATGGATTTTCAAAGGCCCAGGATTAGCCGCCCAAGAATTCAGTAAGTACAGTACGTAGCTAACAACTCACAAATTTACAAGTATATTATAAAAATTCTACCATATCATATTAGTTTGCTAAATAATTAGGAATCTTCCAATTGTAAACTGATAAATTCCTGAATGCATTTCTTATACTGCATTTCAGTATGGTTATTAGTAGAATATTGACCTGGCTGTCCATAAAGTCCTTCTGATTCTCGCATCTCTTCATTCATTCTTGCTAAACGTAACCTAAAATTAAATAAAGGAATCTTTTAGAGGAGTTTACAGAATATAAATGTTCATAAATAAATGAATTATAAAAGCAGGTCATGCATGTACTAATGTAATTATTTCTTTTACTAGTATTTTCTACTAAAATAACATGGCTTTTAGTTTATCAGACCTAGCAATTTCAGACAGGAAAATAATTGTATCTTACCTTCATAACATTCTAAGGAGAAAAGACAATAAAAAATTTCTGCAAAGTACATTTTGGCTCTATTTAAGCAAGAACTCTGCACTACAATTAGCACTTGCTTCCTGGGGACTCCAGAGAATTCCTGACTCCTACAGCAACCTGTCAATTTTTTCTGCCAGCTGCTGAAATTATTACTTCTACAGCATGGAAGCAAATATCCCATCATAAGTTCAGCCTGGCTTACTCTGAGGTGAAGTAGTTCCAGACGTATTACCTCTAAATGCTGGAAGTATATTTAATATATAAACATTATAATAAATAACTATGGGTTACCGAGATTTTCCCATGGCTACCGTATTGGTTATATATTCCTTTTTTGGGGTTAGTCATCCTGCACAGGAAGACATATAACATTAAGAAGGCTGAATAGTTCCTCTTCTTTTTTTCTCTTTAACTAACTTTTTTTTTTGGAGAGGTTTTTGCTACAGGGCACGTGCACTCGCCAGACAGACAGAGAGAGACAGAGACAGAAAGCGAGAAATCACCCCCCAGGGGGGGGTGGCCACACCAAAATCCCTTCTCCTCCATTCTCCTCTCAGGATCTTGGGCATGCACACACACGCGCCCGGCGTGAGTTTAAGCCACCGGGTCCGGGACTCGAACCGCAGTCGACTATGTGGGAGTCCAGCGACATAGCCATTACGCTAACTGCTGGTCCCTCTTTAACTAACTTTAAACAACATCTTGAAATAGGCAAATACTATTTTCGATTTCCCTCTCCTACTCTGTGCTGCTTCCCTATCATTGTGGACCCTCAAATACTCATGACATCCCCAGACCTCCAGAACCCTCTCTGGCAACTGTGGCATCTGACATGGATTGGGTTGTTTTGTTCTGTTCGTTAATTTGACAGGGGTCAGGGAAGGGAGATCTATGGCAAGTCAAGAATTCTCACTGGAAGCTCAGGAGTTCAAGGCAGACATGGGGATTTCTCTTTGTTAAGTGACTAAAATTCAGTAAAATGATGAGATCCAATGACAAAAGGCTACCAATTGTTAGTTTCATGTAGCCCAAAATAGAATAAATAAGTGACTTGATACAAAATTGAGACTTCCTGCATGATGATTAAAGTATAGGTGTCGATGATGATTAAAATATAGGTGTCAATCACATTTCTAGATTCAAATGTAACAAACTACTTTGATCTAAGATGTAAATCAAGACTTCAAAATTCTTGAGACCAGCAGTTAGAATAATGGCTATGTCGCTGGACTCCCATGTAGTCGACCACGGTTTGTGTCCCGGACCCAGTGGCTTAAACTCACGCCGGGCACGTGAGCGTGCGTGCCCAAGATCCCAAGAGGAGAATGGAGGAGAAGGGACTGCAGCATGGCCATCCCCCCTGGGGGGTGATTTCTCGCTTTGTGTCTCTCTGTCTCTCTCTGTCTGTCTGACGAACGCACACACCCTATAGCAAAAAAAAAAAAAACTCTTAAAAAAATAAAATAAAAAGACTTCAAAATTATGTTACATTAAATTCTATATAATAATTCAAAAACCTACATTTTTATCTTAAATTAATCAGGTATTCATGTGAATAGCCATTTAAAAAAATAGCAGAGGTCCAGCCTCAGTGGTGTAAGTGAGAAGGTCCACTGCTTGGTGTCTGGTATCATGTACAAGGCCTGGGTTTGGTTCCCAACTCAAGCTAAAACCAGACGGGCACTGTGACATGTTCCTGTGGTCCTAACTGATGGGGAGGTTGGGGCAGGAAAGACTGTGACATGGCATGGCCCTATCAAAGATAATTCATTCTCTCTCTCTCTCTCTCTCTCTACCCCCTTGCCCTGCATCCATGCATGTTTGCATGTTCTCTGTCTCCCACCAAAAAAAAAAAAAGCAGAGATTTTTATCGTCAATGCAATTTCACAAGTTACTGATATCAATGCAGCTAAATGCCCTACTTATAATCCTCTCCTTCTATACCATTCCAAACCATCCACTGGTGCTATACTAAGAGTTGCACCATTTTAGAGATGTCACTGGCTTGCTGTCCCTACTGGTCAGGCAGTATAATAGGCATGACTAAAAACTTGGGTGTTAGTGTCAGAATTCTCAGATTCAAATCCTAGCTCCACCTATTACTAATATCTCAAATTATCTGCACCTATTACTAATATCTCAAATTATCTGTGGCTTAGCTTCCTTATTTATAAAACGAGGATAATAGTAATAACAATATTTTACTCATAGGGTGGTTGTGAGAAGCCAGTAAGTTCATGCATTTCAAGAACTTAATACACTTGGGCCCAGCAGTTAGCGTAATGGCTATGTTGCTGGACTCCCATGTAGTCAACTGCGGTTTGAGTCCCAGATCCGGCAGTTTAAACTCGCCAGACGCGTGTGCGTGCGTGCCAAGATCCCGAGAGGAGAATTGAGAAAGGATTGTGGCGTGGCCATCCCCCTTGGGGGGTGATTTCTTGCTTTCTGTCTCTCTGTCTCTCTCTGTCTGGCAAGCGCACGCGCCCTACAGCAAAAACCTCTCCAAATAAAGAAAAAAAAAAAACTTAATACACTTAACAGTGCTTAGAGAAGTATGTGGCACACAATAAATATGAACCAAGTTTAAAGTTCACACACATGCATGAAACTCCATGCTCACAACCTGTGTAAGTAATACATTCTATGGAAAATCATCAAGTAAAAAGAAAATACTTACAAGGTTACTATGTCAGCATTGGCTGCTTCCACAGCTATGCTCAAAGGATCTTTCCCTTCTTCATCAGTGGCATGTTGATTGGCACCTCGTTTTAGGAATAAACATACCTGCCTATTTAAGGAAAAAGATTTTTAAGATTTCACCTTAAAAAATAAAAAGTAGTCGCCTTAAAAAATAAAAACTAGTCACCTTAAAAAATAAAAAGCCCTATAAAGCTTAAAGAAACTTATTAGGAGGCCAGCAGGTGGTGTGGTGGTTGGGGCACTTGACACCCACATGGGCAACCACAGTTCAAGTCCTGGACCTGGAGGCTTGCTTTCTCACCCTCCCTTTATCTATCTCTCTCTGTTTCTCTATGGTTAAATTAAAGAATAATGTTAACAAATAAAATTATCCTTATTTTTAAACTTATTAGGAAATTCTTGCTTTATTCTACAAATATTTATTGAATACTGAATAAAAATTCACCAAGATCAACATTTTACAAATCTCAAGTATTTTCACAGTCATATTTAATCCATTCAGCATAGTAGGATATATAAATTCTGGTTCCTACTCTCAAAGAATATCATACAAGATATATTCAGGTATCTATATAAACTTAAGCAAAGGAAAGATCACTCAAGGTCATTATTTTATAGTTAAAGAAAATACAGGGAACCAGCAGTTAGCGTAATGGCTATGTCGCTGGACTCCCACGTAGTCGACCGCGGTTTGTGTCCCGGACCCGGTGGCTTAAAACTCACGCCGGGCGCGTGTGCATGCGTGCCCAAGATCCCGAGAGGAGAATGGAGGAGAAGGGATTGCGGCGTGACCATCCCCCCGGGGGTGATTTCTCGCTTTCTGTCTCTATGTCTCTCTCTGTCTGTCTGGCGAGCGCACGCGCCCTACAGTGAAAATCTCTCCAAAAAAAAAAAAAAAAGAAAAGAAAATATAAATGTCACAATATATTAATGATAATAAAACAGCAAAGAGTGGGGAAGTAGTCTTTCTGCTATGTACCATTAATATGCAAAACTTTAAAAAACTGACAAAAAATGAAAAAAAGGGAAAGAATTGGCAAATACAATCTATGAAATGAGAAAAATAATAATAGTTTAAGGACAAATTAGGAGAATTTTTAAGTACAGAAAGTTTTTATGAGGAATTTATTAAACTGCATCTTTTTGCTAATTTGTGAAAATAAAGTGAATGTTAATAAAAATAAGAGCTATTAAAAATATTTAAAGGAATAGCTTCTTGCTTAGCTAGTTGAAAACTGGATATCCTGAGATATTTTATGAGAGAACAATCACCTTGGGGGTAACAGGTGGCATGATGGTTAAAGCGCTGGACTCCCACATGGCCAACTGCAGTTAGAGTTCCAGACCTGGGGGCTTGCTATCTCACTTTCCCTTTCTGTCTCTCTCTTATCAGTTAAAAAAATAATAACAATAAAATTAAATAAATAAATAGCTCTTAAAAAAATAAATCACCTATGACACAAACTTTTTATGTAAGGCCAACATTTTGACATCATTTATACTGGGTCATCAGAAAAGTCATAATGCATTTTTGCATAGAAAAGCACAGAAGAACATATCTTGACTTTTGCAATGACCCATACTTTCTAACAGAAAGTCCATTTTCATAGTCTTAATATTGCTTCAGAAGCCACTATGTCAACAGCTCAAACTAAGAATCTAGTTTAGAATGTGACTTTGGCTACACTGTAGAAAAACTAAAAATTCTTAAGTTAGAAAATTCTCCCAAAATAGGTTGTATGTGTGCAAGCCATGTGGATAATGTACGTGTGCATACCTAAATACAAACACAGACTTAAGTTGTCTGGTATAATTACCACAGTTTCAGTAACAGAGGGTTTTAGGTACTATTAATAAAACTGATCTATTTAATGACAAGTTAAGGTCAAAGTAAGCTTTGCAATTTTCCTATCTAAAAGTCAACTGTAGCTTTTTTCTGAATGAGATTTTTTTTTAACTTTCCAATTCTGTCATGACCATGTGAGTGATAGAAATATCTCTCTTCAGGAAAGCTCCCTAATGATCTTAACTTGAGAAAAAGCAAAACGTTATTTCAAAATAACTTTCAAATAATATCTACTTAAGTACTCAGGCACTCTAGTTACCCTGTGTGCCCCAAGACGGTGGCATGGTGCAGTGGGCCCCGCCCCTGGACATCTCTTTGGTTCACATTAGCACCATTCTGTAGGAGGAACTCACATGTCACCAAAGAGCCCTGAAAGGAAAAAAGAGGTTAACAATGTATCAAAGCAAACAAGAAGACATTTCTATTTTAAAACACCGTAGTGTTTACTTTTCTCAAATAGCATTTCCATTTCACTCTCCTGTCCAAAAAATACCCCCCAGCAAAAGCAGAGAAATGGTAAATTATTTTCTTCCCAAGAACTACTTCAAAAGAGTCCACTTGCAATTTGTGATTTAGCAAAATACACTATGGTACATTATCAGAATTCTCTTCCATTACAAAAAAAAAAAAAAAAAAAAGCTAAAGCAATCAATGTGCTGCTCAGAAATCAGGACTAGCAATGTAGAGGTTTTTTTCTATTTGCCAACCCATCTCTTCAGACAAAAACTGACACTAAAACTATGTTTGGACTATATAATGACTTTTTATATTTCACTACCACTGAAAAATTTCAGTGAACAACTTCATACCCCTAACACAGCCTGAATAAGCGGTGTTGCTTTGTTTTCCTCTGAGTTAGCCCAGTTCACGTCTGCACCATGAGCCAAAGCCTCAGCCATTTTAGGAAGGTTTTTTTCATATGAAGCCCTATAAAGCTGCAGTCCTGGGTTGAGATGTTTAGATTCAAGAAACACAGAAGAATCTTGCCTTTCTCCTTCTGAAAAACAAACACAAAGATATCAATAAAAATGAACTCTCAGTAGGGAGAGGGAGAATTAATATGCATAGAACTGCTTAAGAAATGAGTTCTATGGATTGATGCTAAGAGCACAATGTGGATGTACTTAATGTCACTGAACTGCATGCCTTAAAAATGGTTAGGATGAGGTCAGTTGGGATGGCTCAGCAGTGACAGGACAGGGGTAATGCTGAAGCCACATGGGGAAGTTCTGGGTTTGAATCCCGAGGTCTCTATGACCTCAGGGCGTTCTTTTGCATGCTTGTGATCCTGGGTGACTGAGGCTAGGGGTGGATAATGGCAATAAAGACTCTGTTGGAGGTCTCTGTCTCATCGTCTAAATCTCTATTATGGAAAAAAATAATAAACTTTTAAAAAAATAATGATTAAGAGCCAGCAGATGGCATGGTGGTTAAGGCGTAGAATTCCACATGGCTGACTCTGAGGTTCAAGTTCTAGACTGGCAGCTTGGAAAACATACAAGGTGCATGTGCATGTATGCCCAAAATCTCAAGACAAGAATAAAGGAGGAAGAGAGATTGGGTGGTCATTCCCCCTGTGGGGTGATTTCTCACTCTCTGTCTCTTTCCAGCAAGCATATGGACCCTGAAATGCAGAAATCTAAAAAAAAGAAAAATATAGTTGAGGGTAAATTTTATGTTATGTGTTATATTACAATTTAAGAAAAAAAAAAATGAACCCTTAGACTTACTAGAATGTGCAAGTTGTCCTCTCAAAAAAAAAAAAAAAAAAAGGGAAGCAGCAGTTAGCATAATGGCTATGTCGCTGGACTCCCACGTAGTTGAACACGGGTCGCGTCCTGGACCCGGTGGCTTAAAACTCACGCTGGGTGCATGTGCATGCGTGCCCAAGATCCTGAGAGGAGAATGGAGGAGAAGGGATTGCAGCGTGACCATCCCCCCTGGGGGGGTGATTTCTTGCTTTCTGTCTCTCTCGGGCGAGCGTACGCGCCCTATAGCAAAAACCTCTCAAAAAAAAAAAAAAAAGAATGTGCAAGTTGTGACATAAAAACATTAATCTATGATAATGTGCTTATAGGAGTTTTTCATAGATATCTTTTAGCATAGACTACTCACTTCTCAAAACATTCAACCTTTTCTTATGAAGACATCAACTGGTATGCAAGGCCTATGTGGTCTTGGATAGGTCAAGAATCTCTGAGTTTTACCACTAGACTAAATTTTCAGGATGCTTCAATACGATCACAATTTTGCACTACAAGCAGTATGAATAATTTGAAGAATGCTTACTGAGTATTCCGCAAGGCCAAATCACTGAAATCATGGAGGAGAAATTACAGGAATAAAGCACAGGTCAGGAGAAAAAAAAACCTAATGGGGAGGGAGTTGCTGATCTCTCGCCTCATAAAAAAAGATAGCCACAAGGAATGATAAAGAATAATAGGGCACACAGTTCACGTCAATTAAAAATTATTCTTTGCTATTGTCAAGGCACTTTTAGTATATACCATGGAACTTCGGAGAACGTATAATTCAAAGAGAACTTCAGAATAAAATTAGCTACTTTCTCCTTTAACAGTATTATTCATCCTCTGGTACTTTCTAGAAGACTAAGCACCTCCTTTAGAAACGGCTTAATCAAGACTAGACATTTACCACATGCATTTTTTAGCAAACACTAATTAACATGGAATTTCATCACAACTTACCAGGCTCATATAAACTATTGGCTGATACTGTAGAGGGTAAAGACTCTCTTCCATCATCAGAACTCTGCTGGATTCCACTGTCATTACTCTTAACTGTTTCAAAGAAAAATTGGCTAGTGATTAACGTTCATGTCATTTAGAAAAAAATTCTCTCACAAACAACAAAGTTTTAAAATGATTTTTTACACATCAACATGAACTCAGCCACTACCAGCAGAATGCATTTAATACAGTTTAACTCTATTGAACACTTAGCTTACAAGCCATAAATCAACCAGAAAGCCTAAAAGTAAACTTATTTTCAGAGTTGAAACACATCTCGCTACCTCGTATGTCCAGGAGGACAAAAGGCGTAATTTATTGTATGATTGTCAGTAATGTGTAATTCTGAGACAATGGGTAACATCTAGAGAAATGGCCACACCGCACAATGACCACTGGCACAGACTCGGAATGCTCCACAAGAGTAGTACTTACTACTACGCAGTTTTGAAGAAGTATCAAAGTAGGAGAAGAGTGAATCTAGCTCATCAGGACAGAACAGAGACTCCCGCCTGGCCTCGTCGCTATTTACAGCAACCACTGGGGACATGCAAGTTAGCAAAGCACAAAGCAGGCCGTAAGAAGGGAAAAGGGCAGGAAGAAAAGTTAACTGGGAAAATTTAGGAGGAAGGAAAAATAGGAAGGAAATTAGGCAGTTATTCAGTACTTAGGGCTTTTGGCATGATAGACTTGTAATTCCCATCTCCCCTTGCATTTTAAACAGACATATTCCTTAGAATTTACACACTACCTAAAAATGTGAATTATTATGGCACTATTTAATTGTTTCAAAGACATAGAAATTCAGTTTTTCCTTAGAACATGCAGAAGGAAACAGATTTTTAGCATTTGTAATAAACCTTTAATGGCTACTTATTCGGACTGTGAAAGTGATTTCAACTTAAGAAAATATTTATATACATAATGAGGAAACTATAATACCTGAACTTTGGGCAGATGCTCTGACTTGGTCAGCTGGTCCAAGTTTGGAAATGCTCAGCCTCTTTTCTTCATAACTTTTGGAGACAATCTTTTTTTCCTGCTCAGAAGGTGATGATGACATAGAATTTTTATCCACAAATTTCCTCTCCACATATTTTGCTCTGATATATGCTTCTTTCTCCTGTCTGGTATACATAAAAACATCATGATGGTCTGCTTATCCTTTAGTATGGCTAATACTGAAAAGAAGCCATTATATATACTGAATATTTTCAAACAAAGTCACTCACTCTAATATTGATTCAAACTGAATCTGTGACATTACACACGTTTTTCCTTCCAACTGTTTAGTGAACTGTATGATTTCACATTCATATGAAATACAAATAATAATCTAACCAAAAAAAAAAAAGTTCTCTTTTAATTTTCATTCTCATTCAAGTCTACACATAACTTCCTTTGTGGTTTTTACAGAATGAAGAACTATCAGGAAAGCTATAAAAATTTATAGCAATTAACTTCAGTTGTGTTTTTACTCAAAGAAGAAATGTCACATATTAGACTATCATTATTGATGGCCCTAATTTTTTATAAGAATTTAAAACATGCCATTCTTAATTTAAGGAGGAAAAAAAGATGTCACATTTTAAACTTTTGATTTCTGATACAATCATACAATGCTATATCAGTTCTATTCTCTTTTAATTTTCATTTCTCATTCAAGTCTACACATAACTTCCTTTGTGGTTTTTACAGAATGAAGAACTATCAGGAAAGCTATAAAAATTTATAGCAATTAACTTCAGTTGTGTTTTTACTCAAAGAAGAAATGTCACATATTAGACTATCATTATTGATGGCCCTAATTTTTTATAAGAATTTAAAACATGCCATTCTTAATTTAAGGAGGAAAAAAAGATGTCACATTTTAAACTTTTGATTTCTGATACAATCATACAATGCTATATCAGTTCTATACTTGTTCTTACTTATAAAAATGCTTTTAGGTCTTTGACTAAAATAGAATATTTCAAGGTCTGAAATAACACAGCATGCTTGAGAAAATAATTAAGATTCTGATTTACTGGCTGGAGGGAAAGTCGTGACACATATTTTTCTATGCAAAAACACATCATGACTTTCCTAACAACCTAGTAGAGGATATTATTTAAAGTAAACTTTAAAGTAAAGTATTATTGATTACACTAGAGACTTCAAAAAGTTCATGGAAAATGGAGTTGAAATGAGTTCATTCTGATGCAAAAACTCTCGGAATCCACTTGTTCTTTTCTTATAATATACATTTTTCCAGGAACCTTGTGGAAACTACATACATAAAGATTTAGTGAAACAGAAAATTCCAACATACGATTATGGCAAAAAAAACCTTAAAACTTATTTTTTGTACATGCCTGATTTTTTTTTTTTTCCCCTCTTAAGAACTGTAGATCAGGGCCGACAGGTGGTGTGGTGGTTAAGGGTGCTGTACTCCCACATGGCCCACTGCATTTTGAGTCCCAGACCCGGCAGCTTACTTTCTCAATTTCCCTCTTTCTCCTTCTCTCTCACTCTGTCTCTCTCTGGTCAAATTAAAATAAATAAAGTTAAATAATATAATTATTTAAAAAACAAAAATCTAATGAATAAGAGCCAGCCAAAGGCATGGTGGTTAAGGCAGCTGGATCCCAGATGGCTGACTATGCGTATCGAGCCTTGGACCTGGCTGCTTGAAAACTACCGGGATGAGTCATGTGTGCACAAAATCCCAGGAGAATGGAAGAGAAGGGACTGCAGCATGGTCATTTCCCCAAGGGGGTGCTTTCTCACCACCCTCACCCATCTCCCTTGGGTAAACACATGCCCCCTAAAGCAAATTTTTTAAATATAAATAATAATAATAAAAAAAAGTAAAGACTGAAAACAGCATCAAAACTAAAAATTAGGTAGTTTGAAGGCACTGACTGACTCTTAGCCACTTTGTTGAGTGAGGACTCATCTATAGAACTAAATGTATAATTTCAAACTCAAAAAGTAAGCACTCTTCCCACTAGAACCACCCTTTAATCTATGGTTCTTCCACATCATACTGCCAGGTATGACATATGTGATTGACAAATATTTGCTGAACTAAGTCAAACGATGTAACATTATTCACTGCAGGTAACTGAAACTTGACCCTTGGAGGTGGTAATGAACAGATTTTCATTTTTAAAAAAATTTATTTCTTTTTAATTTGACCAGAGAGGAACAGAGTGGTGGGGAGGTAGAGGTAAAGTCAGAAAGCAAGCCGCCAGGTCCAGGTCCAGAACTCAAACCGCAGTTGGCCATGTGGGAGTCCAATACCCTTAACCACTACGCTACCTGCTGCTACCTGCCATTAATAGCACTTTGGTCTATTCTAACTATAAAGAGCATTGATATTCCTATGTATAGCCTTTTTTTTTTTTCAAAGATTTTTCCTGTAGGGCACATGCACTCACTGGAGAGAGAGGCAAAGGGAGCAATCACTCCCCAAGGGAATGGCCATGCCACAATCCCTTCTTATCTCTCCTCCTGGGATTTTGGGCATGCACACATTCACACCCAACATATTTTTCAAGTTGTCAGGTCCAGGACTCATATCAGAGTCCACCATGTGGTATTCAGTATCTTAACCACCACGCCACCTGCTGTCATTGAGCCTTAATATTTAAGATTCCTCTCACATAGAGACTGTAATTGATTACCTGCTCAAAAGAATATAATTACCTAATTTATATACTCAAAAAAAGCCACATTTGAACAAAAGCAGTAAGAAGTGTTTCTAAATACACTTTTTTTAAAAAAGATTTTTGCCTCCATGCTATGTATCTATTAGAGTGAAATATAAGGCATAGCTGTAATCCTGATCAGAAAAAAAAGGGTGGGGTTGGAGGTGGGTAGCACATTAAGACAACTGAAATAGTACCTTTGTCCTGGTTGTGGTTTCTTTATTCCCATTTTTTCCACATTAGCTTCATAAACTCTATTTATAACATCATTCCCCAACTCACACATAAGCTGTTTGGCAGGAAAACAAGAAAATAAGCTATAAATTAAATCCTTCAAATATGCTTTTTTTTTTTTTTTTTTGAGAGTTTTTTTGTATAGGGCCTGTGTGCTTGCCAGAAAGACACAAAGATACAGAAAGCGAGAAATCACCCCCTGGGGGGATGGCCACACCGCGATACCTTCTCCTCTTGGGATCTTGGGCACACATGCACACGTGCCTGGCATGAGTTCAAGCCACTGGGTCTGGGACTTGAACCGTGGTCGACTACATGGGAGTCCAGCAACGTAGCCATTACGCCATCTGCTGGTCCCAAAATAAGCTAAAATTTTAAAGCCCTTTAATATAACTAGATGATTTCTTTGTATGTTCTACAACTGTTCATTCCACAAAGCAGTTTAAAGTTAAAACAAAATGAGACTAGGACTGACAGTAATACTATCATTTGCCATTCTTCACCAGAATGTCACCGAGAAGATTACCACATCTACCAAATTCTCTCTCTGTCTCATGTGTGTGTAATCTCACAACTACCTATCTGTATGTATGTACATGTGTACACACACACACATTATATCTCTATGTCCATTGTAGGGCAAGAAGCATGACAAAAAAACATTGCCTAAATAGTAAGGTGTATAAAGTAATAGCCAGTCTTAGGACAGTAAGTGAAAAATTAAGTATCCATTCTTTTTGAAAGTTTTCTCCTCACTTCCAGTTCCTAGAAATATTCAAATCCACTAAATTTACAACCCTTTGAAATTACTTTTGGATTTTTCCCCCTCCTTGGGTTTTATCTCCAAATAACAACCAACTCCTGGTTATATGTTCCAAAATCTTTTATCTTTTCCTTCCCATCTGTCCATTTAATTAGAACTCATTTAAATTCATATATTATACCGGTGGCCTGTCAGCTAATCTTATAGCTTCCAGTTGTAGCCAATTCTAGGCTTGACCATAAGGCCAAATATGCTTACTCTGCCTAGATGCAGATTGTACAAACCAGCTCCCTGGAAAATCCTAAATGGGTAAAAGAGATATGGCATGTATGCTAGGAAGACACAACCAGAGGCTGCAGAGCATAAAGGTGAAGGTGAGTTGGGACATGTGAGTTGGTAGGAATGGATCAGGCATGATATAAGACAGAAAGAAGAAAAAAATGCTATCTGGACCAAAGAACAAGATCAAAGTCTAGGAAAGCTTTCAGACAGAAAGAAATGTAGAGTATTCTGCAATCCTTAAATTTATATATTTTCTTCAATATGCTTAACTAGATGATGAGAATTCAAAGTAGTAAGCTGTAAATTATTAGGAATTTTATAAATCTTGTAAGAACCTAGTACTGACCTAAAATAATTTATGACATTTTCATAGATATGAATACTTAGACTCAAGGGAGAAAAGGGTCAGTTTGATGATTCCTACCACTACAAATGTAAATTTGCAAATGGTCGTATGTTAAAATAACCAAACAATGCTAATAGGCTATACCAATCCACGATAGCACTTGCTACAACAAAATATCTCTTACATTTTTAATAAGAAGCTAATTGCAAAAGATTAAAACTAAGGCACATAAGAAAGTAGAAAAAAAGAGGAACCTTGGTTTTATTAAAGAATCAACTGATTTGGATTTAAGAGATCAACACAAACTTAGCAATTTAAAAAACCTATTATGAAAACACCAGGTTTGCCAAAATATGTGTTCCAATACAATTCTATTTGTCGTTAGCATAAGAAATTCAGAAGTTTGTAAGCCAAGATTCTAAAATCTTTACTTTTATGTGAAGATATAAAGTAGTTTTATGCAAATATTTATGTTACCTTTAAAAGCTCAGGCTCCCAGGTATCCAAAGTTAAAGATCGTACTTTTGAAAAATGAACCCCAAGACTCCTAAGTGAAATAAAAATAAAAAGACTGCATTAATGTGTAAATTTCTCAAGTCTCTACTTATTTACACAAGCGTTTTCTCTTTTCATGTGACATAGACTCTATTCTAGCCCTCATCACCCTTTAAGTATGGCCTCTTAAGTACTACTTTTCAATTAATAATAAAAGATAAACCAAAGTCATCAAAAGCACTTTACAAACCAGAATTTTATCTAATTTATGAAAGGTACAAATATACAAACTGGTAGATCAACTGAAGTTAAAGAGGCCCTCTGTCAAATAAAACGTGATCATTTACGACGTGAATATACCCAAAAGATCCATGGGCAAGGCGACCCACCTGTGAATCCCAGAGCACTCAATACACAAGGTAATGCCCAAGTTGATGCTGGCCCAGCGGGGATCTGCCAGACCACAGTCGCAACAGCTGGCATTGCCAGGGATACACTGGACCCGCTGCAGTGCACTTTCTCCTTTCAATAATTTCTCTTTTGACTCATTTCCAGAATCTAGACTTCCTGTGGATGGAGATGATTTCTTATCCAGCTTCTAAAAGAATTAAGAATTGTTTTTCAAAAAAAAGAAAGACTGTAAAAATACATTGCATGCTATATGCACCAAAGATAAACCTCCAATCAACAAATTAAAGAATTGTTTTAGGCATAACCAGGGCTTTTCTATCTCTGGTGATTTGAGGACAGAAAGATACAGGTTCCTCTATCAAGGGGCTTTTAGTGTAGTAGAGACAGACATATTCACATTTAAAATTATATGCACTAAGTGATACAATGAACTTATGTACAAGGTGTGAGGACAGAGAGAAGGGGACCACTAGGTGTCGGTTTGACGATTCCTACCACTACGAATGTAAATTTGCAAATGGTCCTATGTTAAAATAACATGAGGTTAACATGTAGAGTACGAGACAAAGGGAGTAGATAAGAGACTATTAAGATTCAAGGATTAAAGAAACATTATTCTATCACATGCATTTCCAAGGTGGTCAATGAACTGTAAGCAGGCTATTTTAATTACTGCAGTGAGTAACTAGAAAAGGCATGGTCTCTTATAGTTAAATACTAAAGAGCAGGTATGATTTCAGAGTGAATCGTTAATATAACACATAGTATCTAAAATTCCAAGAACCTGAAGGACATTATGTTAAGGGAAGTAAGACAGGCACAGAAAGACAAATGCCACTTGCACAGTCTCACTCATATGTGAAGTCTAAGAAAGTTGATCTTGTGACCAGTAGATGGCCTAAAGGTTATATCACTGGACTCCCACATAGTAGATCATGATTCAAGTCCCAGACCTAGCAGCTTAAAAACTCATGCTGGGCACATGTGTGTGTGTACCCAAAATCCTGAGAGGAGACTGGAGGAGAAGAAATTGCAGTGTGGTCATCCCCCCAGTGGGGGGTGATTTCTCACTTTCAGTTTTTCTGTTTCTTTGGTGAATGTACACACCCTATAGCAAAAATCACTCTCAAAAAAAAACAGTTGATCTCATAAAAGTAGAGAGTAGAAGGGTGATTATAAAAGACTGAGATGGTTGAGGGGGCAGATAAGGTTTTAGGATATTGGGCAAAAGGATATATATTTACAGTTAGATAGGAGGAAGAATAAATTCAAGAAATATACTCTGTACTATGATGATTATAATCATAATTATGATATGCTATATTCCTGAAAAGTACTGGGGATAAGAATATTAAACATTTTCATCACAAAAATGCTAACTATGTGAAGTAATGCATCTGTTAATATTCTATATTTAACCATCCCAATACACACAGACAAACACATACACTTCAAAAATATCATACGCAATAAATATATACAACAATATGTCCATTTACAGATACATTTGAAAAAATTAAAAAATAGAAAAACTGTAAGGGCTATAGAGTAAACAAGAAAAAAAGCAAAAGATGACTGATAAGCAAAAGTTGATCTTTTTTTTTTTTTTTTGGAGAGATTTTCGCTATAGGGCACGTGTGCTCACCAGACAGAGAGACATAGAGACAGAAAGCGAGAAATCACCCTCCAGGGGGGATGGTCATGCTGCAATCCCTTCTCCTTCATTCTCCTCTCGGGATCTTGGGCACACACACACACACACGCACCAGGCGTGAGTTCTAAGCCATCGGGTCCGGGATGCAAACCGCGGTCGACTACATGGGAGTCCAGCGACATAGCTATTACGCTAACTGCTGGTTCCCAGCAAAAGTTGATCTTTATTTTATGCTGCAAGGTATGTGTTGCATGCATTGGACAGAGAGAAATCACTTTCTCCAATGGGACCTGGCCACACACACCGCAATCATTTTTCCTCCAATTCTCCCTCCTTTCAGAATCTTGTGTATGTAGCATGCACACACGTGCACCCAGCTAGCACGTCCTTGGGGTTGGGACTTGAACCATAGTTGTATAGCTATAGCTTCCTGTGCACAGCACCTAACCGGTGCACTACAGACTGACCCAAAATTTACTTTTGTAAGTGCACAGCAAAGTCTCTACCAATAGTAAATAGTTGTGTTTTTTTTCCTTTCCTTTTTGTTTTTTTATCAATTGTCAGAGGGCAGGTCAGCAGATGGCATGGAAGTTGGGGTGGCTGGATCCCACATGGCCAACTGCACAGTTCGAGTCCTGGACCACTGTTTTGATAAACATACTAGACACATACGCGTATGTGCATTTTGTGCCCAAAAAATCCTGAGGGAGAACAGTAGAAGGGACTGCAGCATGGTCATCCCCCATGGGGGGGGTGCTTGTTCTCCCTCTCTGACAAGTACACATGACCCTAGAGCAAAAAAAAAAAATACTAATAATAATTGTCAGAGGGCACATGCACTTGCCAGAGAAAGAGTGCTAGAGAAAATACCCCCCAATTGGACACGGTCACACCACAGTCCTTTTTCCTCTGTTTGTCTGTCCCATCAGAATTTTAGGTACGCATACACACATGCACTTAGAGTGTTTGTTTTTCAATTCACCTGGCCATGTGGGATTTGGCTTTCTATACATAGCACTTAGCTGCTGCACTATGGGGCCATCCCCAAAAGTAAATAGTTTTTAATAAGCAATTACCGATACATGATAATAATGATCAAATACAAAGATGTGTTTCATAGAGCCTAAACAATTAAAGACCATCTGTAAGATGTCTTGTGGTGTAAACACATTCCAATCTGGCACCAGGCCCATAACACAGCTCTTCAGCACCGTATAGAACAGAGGTAACCAGATCCCACATGGCTGAGCAGGGCTTCAGTCCCAGTCTCAGCAGACCGCCGACCTGGTGCACATATCTGAATGGCCAGGATCCTGATGGGATGGAGAACTGAAGGAAAAAGGACTGCTGCATGACTAGGCTCCACTGCAGGGTGCGGGGGGCACCTTCTCTCCCCCTGTCCTTTTTCTGTCTTGTGCACACTCACGTGTCTCCTGGCATTTAAACACATTCCAATCTTAACAAGCCAGTATGTTAGTAGAGAATTATGAGAAATATAATTTGACTCTTGCCTTGCCCTTCCTAAAAACTCAATTTAATAGTGGTTAGTAGCAACAAGCAAAGTAGGTAAGTGCGGGAACACAGAATTCCCGAGAAGAACTGGATGAAGAACTTACTCACACAAGAGCGCAACCCTGTGAAGGCTGCTGGATCCCAAGCAGGATGAGGAGGATGTCTGCACAGAGAAGCAGCCTAGCAAGGGAAAGGGAGCCTGAGCAGAGGGAGGAAGGCATCTAAATGGGAGTGCCACCGAACGTGAAGGGTCAGAGTCTGAGTCAAGTAAGAAGCACTCTGTGCGAAGTTGGGAAGACAAAGTTGGGGGCATGTGGCAGCAGAGATAGACTACTGGTTACATACAGGGAGGTCAATCAGTAAGAAACACGTTACAGATAAATGGGAGCTAGAGGGCCAGCAGGTGGCATGGTGGTTAAGGTGCTAGATCCAACAAGGCCAACTCTGTGGCTCTAGCCCCAGACCTGGCAACCTGAAAACACGCCAGGCATGTGTGCATGCGTGCTCAGAATCCCGAGAAAAGAACAGTGGAAAAGGGACTGTGGCATAGCCATCGTACCCAGGGAAATGTTTTCTCATATTCCTTCTTTGCCTCTCTCTCTGGCAAGAGTATATGCCCTATACCAGAAACTTGAAAGGAAGGAAGAAAAGAAGGAAGGAAGGAAGGAAGGAAGGGAGGAAGGAAGGAAGGAAGGAAAAAGAACAGAACAGAACATTACTGGAAAAATTATTAAAACATGAATGGTTGTAGGAAATTAAATGGTAGCAATATTCCAAGACCAACAGATGGTGTAGTAGTTACATTGCTGGACTTCCACAAGGTCCATGCGGTTTAAGTCCTGGACACAGTGCCTTAAAAATCACACCAAGAGTGAATGAGTGTGTGCACGTGTGTCTAGGATCCCAGGAGAAGGGATTGTGCATGGCCATCTTCCCGGAGAGTGATTTCTCACTTTACCTCTCACTAGCTCTGTCTCTTTCTCTCTTTGGCAAGCACATGTACTCTAGAGCAAAAACTTCTTACACACACACACACACACACACACAGAAAAGGCAGTAATATTTCAATGCTACCTTCTTGTCATATCCCTTTTTTTTTTTTTTTAAGAGATAGGATCTTGTTATGTTGCTCAGGTTGGCCTTAAACTCTTGGTCCTACCTCAGCCTTCCAAGTTGCTAGGATTACAAGGAACACACTACTGTGCCCTGCTAATGCTCATTTGAGTTTGATGGCTGGACCATGATTACACGGGACAATGTCCTCTGCGGTGAGAAGTACTCATTAAAGTAACGATGAGTAATAGGGCAGCCTGTTGGGAAATTACTCCCAAATAGTTTGGAAGAAAAGTTATTTGATTATACCCAGAACCCCTCTTTAAGTATGAGATTATTTTAGAATGTTAAAAAATAGGAATATACCCTGTTTTACCATAATGTGTTTGATCATGTGAATTAGCAAATAAGCAACTGCATTTAGGGAAAGGACGTCAATATCATAAAGCAAAATCGTTTTGGTTCACTCCCAATTTTTCTCTATATACTAACATTTCTGCACCAAATGAGAAAGGCTGAACAGTAAGTACACCGACCCTGCATAACTTGGGTCAGCAACCTCATGGAATTCAGCCCTGAACATGACACCACTCATCAAAGGAAGAATGACTGTTTAAGAAAGAGTTAGATCCCAGGGCCATCTCCCCAACCCATGCCATTAGGGAACTACTCTCTACAAATAACATGAATTTTTAGAAGTTTACTGCCTGGAGGAATAAAACAGAGTCTCTGTGGTTCACCTGAAAGGAGACAGCAAGGGCGTAAGTGAATATACGCACACTGAGCTGAATGCTGAAATACCCAGCCCTGAGCTCTGGGGCAGTCCCTATCCCTGTGCAGGAGACTGGTGACACGCCTCTGGGAAACCATACCGGCTGAAGACCCTAAAGATCCTGACTATAGTGGTTCTTCAACAAATGATCCAGACTTAGGAGAAGGTCACAACAAAGTACTGACAATATGTTCAGAAAGTATGAAGAGGCTTTTGATCTCTAACTTATCACAGGCAAATTCCTGACAGCTAAGGGAAAGCAGCTAATACAGTGGTTCTCAACCAAGACCATTCATAGAAATCATCTAGGAAGCTTTCTCTTAAAGATTTATTTAATTTTATTTATTTATTATTATTATTTTTTATTCTATTTTTTTGGAGAGGTTTTTGCTACAGGGCGTATGCACTCGCCAGACAGACAGAGACAGAGAGATAGAAAGCGAGAAATCACACCCCCCAGGGGGGATGGACACACTGCAATCCCTTCTCCTCCATTCTCCTCTCGGGATCTTGGGCACAAACACACACACGCCCGGCGTTGAGTTTAAGCCACCGGGTCCAGGACTCAAACCGTGGTTGACTACGTGGGAGTCCAGCCACATAGCCATTACACTAACTGCTGGTCCCATTTATTATTATTATTTTAATTTACCAGAGAGAGACAGACGAAAAGTGAGAAAGCAAGCTGCCAGGTCCAGGACTTGAACCATGGTCCACCATGTGAGAGTCCAATGCCTTAACCACCATACCACCTGCTAGCCTCCCAAATGTTCTGTTTTTAAGAAACTACCAGAAAAGGCACTTACAGTTTTTTCCAAGTCAAAAAAGGGAAAGTTAAGGAATACAGGTAAAAGAAGAATCTCCAAAAACAAACAAGTATAGACTTCCCAGACAACAGTTATGCTTAGGCTTGGGGAGAGACTGACTCACACTGCAGAAGCGTAGCTCAGAGACAGACATACTGAGGGCTATCTTCACGACCATGCTCTTTGTCAGTGTTCTCAGTACCCACCAACGTCCAGGTGACACTGGCCACTGATACAATAAAGTCCTACTCCCTTCTCTATGTCCTGCTGCTTGGGACAAGTGAGATCCCTCCCCCCTTCCTGCTTGAGAAGGGTTCTGCTTTGAGGTACCCTTGGGAGCTAGAAGCTGGCTATCATGAGCTTAGAATTACAATTTAGAGGGCAATTTACCCCCCTAATAGTATATTCTTACCTATTCCCAACAGTTTTCTATCAGTAAGCCTATGCCACAGGCCTCACCAGGATGCCCAAAAGTGGTTAAGTTCCATTTCTGAAGAGTCACTCATGGTCTTGCCCAAAAACTAAAGTCAGACTATGACCCAAAATTGCATATTCTGTTTATTTTTTCCAGGGAGCCAACAAAGACAATACTGAGACAATACTGTACTTTTCCTTTTTATATTTTTATTCAGTTTCAATTTTAAACACTATTCATGACCATTATTTTATTTTATGGTTAACTAAAACAGTAAAATACTGTAAGGAAAAACACTAACATCTACATTATTCTAATCTGGGAATCCAAATACAGTGATAGGTAAAATCAAGAGAAATAAGCAAAAAAGAAATTTAATTGAGATTTGTAAAATAAATTTCATTTCAATGACATAAAATCATCCTTCATAAAAAATTATTTTATAATCAAATTTTGCAACTAAACTCTAAAAGTTTTGGCAATATATCATTTGGTATTGCTAATCCTTCTACTGACCTCTGACTCATCACCCTTCTCTCTGTAAGCAGTAGCAATACTGGTCTGAACAGCCTTAATCCATGCCTGGCGCAGCTTTTCAGAATCTGCCTGGAGCATACAACTTCTAAAAGAAAATAACAAATTGCTTTTCAGACACTAATTAACCAAAAAAAGGGAAAGAAAACAGTTAAGTTTTATATTTTAGTACACTTTATAATTTAGTAGTTTTCTAGTCAAAAATAGTAACGGATGTTGAAAAAGTTTTCTTTCATCTATCTTTAGGCCGAAGTACCTTCATGAAGAAATAAGGGTACAAATGAAACAAACGATCTCTTGAAAACAAATCACCCATCACTACATATTTAAAAAATAATAAGAGAGGAGTGGGCAGGTGGCGTGGTGATTGCGGTGCTAGACTCCCACGTGGCCAACTGTGGTTCAAGTCCTGGACCTGGTGGCTTGCTTTCTCACTCTCCCTCCCTTTCTTTCTCTCTCTCTCTGACCAAAGTGAAAAATAATAATAAAATTGGGACCAGCAGTTGGCGTAATGGCTATGTCACTGGGCTCACATGTAGTTGACTGTGGTTCAAGTCCCAGACCCAGTAGCTTAACCTCATTCTGGGCACATGTGCGTGTGTGCCCAAGATCCTGAGAGGAGAGTGGAGAAGAAAGAAGGGACTGTGGCATGGCCATTGCCCCTAGGGGGTGATATCTTGCTTTCTATCTCTCTGTCTCTCTCTGTCTTTCTGGCGAGCACACGTGCCCTACAGCAAAAACCTCTCCAAAAAAATATAACTAATAATAATAATAATAAATAATTCTTTGAAAAAAATAAATAATAAGAGAACAAAAACACTTAAATTTACCATAATGCTCATTTTTTTCTACTGGGTACAAATATGAAATGATAATTAATGAACAAATTTATCTAAGATCTCCATTCATCTTCATAACAATTTCAAATGGACACACAAATAACCTTCATGGAATCTAAAGAATATGTTACATGAGTAGAAGTTACATTTTTGTCTGGTTATAATGTCTATAATTGCTAATTGTTTAATATATATTTAAATACTTGTTTCCTCTTTGGCACGGATAATCATTAGTCAAACACACATTTCTCTGCTCTGGAGAGTTCTTTAAGACAATATACTGGGTCATCACAAAAGTCATGAAGTATTTTTTCTAGACAAAACTGCATCATGACTTTTCTGACAACCCAACAGAAACATAAAAGTGAGTCTCAGATTCTTTAGAACTACTTACTTTGTTGGAGAGACTACCTCAAAGCAGAATCGGCGTTCTATGTCTTCACAATGCTTCACTGTGCAGAGTCTGAGATCTTCAACTACTACAGTGGGGTTATCCTACAATAAGGAAACAAAATGTGTATATTTATCAATTTTATTTTTTTAAAAAGACTGTTGCCGTAGGGAGCATTGCTCACCAGAGAAAGAAAGAGAAAAAGAGAGACAGTGAAAGGGAAAGTGAGAAATCACCCCCCAGAGGGGACAGTCAAGCCACAATCCCTTCTCCTCCATTATCCTCTCAGGATTTGGGGTGCACACACACACGCCCATGTGATTTTCAAGCCACCAGGTCCAGACCTGTGGTCATCCAAGCATGAGTCTACAGTACTTAACCACTATGTCACCTGCTGGACCCACAACTTATATTTTAAACACTACCATCCATAATAACATACTTAAAAATATTGCTTAGAGTAAATGGTCTCATTTGAAAAGATTTATATTTATCTTATTTGAGGTACAAATACATTGACATACATGTAACTAATAAAGGTAATACTCTCCTCTTGATAATTTTACCTACCTCATAAAATTATTATGCTTGGATTAAGTAAAATAGTTTACATAGAGAGCTTGGTCTAACACTGGTTACTTAGTAGATGCTCAATACTTCCTATTAATTTTCTTCCATTTTCTTTCATATCCATTACTCTCTTGGTCCCTACTCTTAATAATAAAAGCTACTTTCCTCCAAAAATGAAGCCTTTAAGGAATCAAGTGTTAAGTAGCTCAACAAAAGATAAGCTTATAAATCCTTAAGTACCTAAAATAAGCAAGTTTTTATCATTTTCTACTACCTAATAAAAATATAAATTCAAAATCAAGTTTATCCAAGTAGAAGAAACCATGAACTAATCAGCTTGATTAAACGACTTGTGTGAAACAACCCAGTGATCACAGAAACTAGCAAGCAAATTTCCTACTGTGTCATCTCAGTAGTACAATGGATATGCAAAATATAACAGTGTGTGAAACATAATTCACAAAGTCTAACTAGGTGAAAAGTAAGTACCAAAAAGCTAATGGTTCTTTCCTTCTAATTATTTTTAGTATTCCCAAATCACACAATCCCAGTGTGCTTTTCCAATAAATAAATAGTTTTAATCCTTAAAATAAGTTTCAAAAAAGCAAATACATGAAAAGAATATTAACGAGTACAGAGATTTCTATTTAAATTCCTTAGAGCTGGACCTGCCCACTAGCACAGCAGTTAAATGCTAAACACAGAGGGCCAAAACCACAAGGCCAACCACTGTTCAAGTTCTGGCCACAACAATGTGAGGAATACACCAAGCGTCTGTGCATGCATGTCCAAAATACTGATGGGATGGAGAAATGGAGGAAAGAGGACGTGGCCATGCTTTCTCTCTTTTTCCTTCTTTCTCTAGCAATTGCACACGTCCTCTGGCAATGAAAAATAAATAAATACAGTTTGTGAAAAATGGAATTAAAGTATAAGTTTATTTTAAAAATTAAAAATTTCTTTATATTACTTAGAGGGCCAGCAGGTTGCATAGCAGTTAAGGCACTGAACTCCCACATGGTGGACTATGGGACCCAGCAGCTTGAAAATCATGCTGGGTACATGTGCGCGCATGACCCAAAATCCCTAGTCAAGAACGGAGAAGAAATTGTGGCTTAGCCATCCCTGCCTGCCAGGGGGAGGGGTGATTTCTGCCTCTCTGGCAAGCGCACTGACCATACAGCAAAAATCTTAATTAGGAAAAAAAATTACTTAGAGCTTATACTTTAATTAATGATATTTTAACTTTCCTGTGTTATTGTCTTTGGACCTAAGGGGTTATTTCTTAAAAAGGTATCCTCTCCTTCAGCCATTCCATGGCACTGTCATTCCTGTCACATAAGTAGACAAAGAAATGTATAAAGAAATAAAAAGAATAATCCTTTAGACACAAAAAATTCCATCTCAAAGCTAGGAATTAAGAACTCAGGTATTGGGGCCAGCAGATGGTGTAGTGGGAGTGCACTGGACTTCTACATGGCGGATGATGGTTTGAGTCCTGGACGTGGTGGCTTGCTCGCTCGCTCACGCTCTCTCTCTCTCTCTCTCTCTCTCGTCAAATTAAAAAATAATAATGATAAATAAAATAATTATTTTGGGGCCAGTAGGTGGCATGGTAGTTACAAGCGCTAGATTCCCATATGACCTACTGCAGTTCAAGTCCCGGTTCTGGCAACTTGCTTTCTCACTTTCCCTCTCTCTTGCTCTCATTTTCCTTCTCTCTCTCTGTTCCTCTCTGGTCAAATTAAAAAATAAATAAAGTTAAATCAAATAATTCTAACACCAAAAAAAAAAAAAAAGAACTCAGGATTTGGGGCTGGTACTGAATTCCCACATGGCCAATTATGGTTCAAGTCCCAGACCGGGTGGCCTGCTTTCTCTTTCTCTCTCTCTCTCTGGTCAAGCTGAGTAATAATAATAATAATAATAATAATAATAATTAATAAATAAATTCTGGATTCAAAATCACTGTGTTCTTAAGGATCAAATGTTAGTACTTTCCACTCTAGAGTCTTCTTACACATGCCCAAACATAAAACTAATAAACGATAATTACAGTAATTTTTCACATGTGACTATGGACTTGAAGGTTTACCAAGACAAGCAAATAAAAAACTCAAATTAACAGTAGCCTATGCTGAATGCTGCTGCTCAGTAGGCTGGAGCCACATGGGATACCTGGGTTTGAGTCTTAGTCCACCCTAAAAAGCCCAGCACAGGGGTGCACACCCACAATCCCAGCCACTCAAGAATGCAAATATAGAAAAACCCTGTCTTAACACACACACACACACACACACACACACACACACACAATTGGGAACGCAACAGATTTTCATTTAATGACCTAACAAAATACTTACCTTAAACTTTTTCTGGTAAACCAACTGATTGTTCTGTATTGAAAACCAGCGTCTAAATAAATACAAAACAGACTAAGTTTTCACAAACATAATTTCCTTTCTTTGTATTAGAAATGAAATATTTGGGAAAGCACTGGAAATCTGTTTGCAGTAATTATATTTTGAGAAATGGATTGCTTTGTTTTGCTTTATATAAACTGCTGTCAATATGTGATAACTAATGAAAGTAAAGAATAAGCATTTTAAAACCACAAATTATAAAAATTAAATTACTATATTTTGATTTATTTTGTCATAAATTCTTATAACAAAAGCTATTCTTTTTGCTATTGCCAAGTAATAACTTTTAAAGACAAATTTAGTTTTATGAGGTTCCTCAAAAAAATGTAACTTTACTTCTAAAATAATTGTTTTTAGTATAAAGTTGAAATAAATTTATATTGTGAATAAAAATACCCATTTGTATACAGTACAACAGTGAAATAAATGGTGCTTTTTTTTCAGCCTTTTAACAGATAATTCACCAAGTGTTTGATCTGATAAGCAAAACAGAATAATCATTTTAGAACTGATGTCGAATAGGAGATAATCACCAATTAACATGCCTTATTTTCATAGAAAATACTTTCCGGCAAAATAATCAAAGTTATTGCTACAAATGATTCACCCCGCTATTTATACAGCTCTATTCATTACTGTACAGACAATTCACTTGCAATCTTCTTTAGAACAAAAAGCTAAGCTATGTACGGTGTATTTACTAATTCTAATTTATGAAGACAATTAGAATACCTAAGGACTTAAAAAAAATAAATAAGTCATAGCCAAAAGCCATTCATAAAAGGAAGCAAACTTCTCATCAAGCAGAAAAGGTAAAACATTATTTGAGTCATTATTTTAAAATTAGTTTCATGTGAGATGATTTCTATTGTAAACATTAGTTATTAATTTATTAGCAGATAGAGATTCTACCTTTTCATTGATACTAATACAAAGCATTAGAAATTGTATTTAGAAACCTAAAATTTCTATTTCAAAAATAAAGTTAATTTCTCCAAAGCTGAGAAAATGATTAGAAAACTATTTTTCATTTTTAAAAGTTTTACCAGACAGACTGTTAGGTTTTCTTAAAACTTAAAAAGGTATCACCTTTACTATTAAAATATAGAAAACTGTTAAATAAGCATCTAGATAAAACAAAATGGGCTACCTCCAAATGCAACTCATAAAGAGGCAGACTAGAAAAGGAAGAACTTCTGGGTGCCTTTGCTTCCAGACAGCTAACGGTTAGAAATGTTAAAGGAGATACCTACAAACAAACAAAATGGTGCAGCCCTGCTACATGGGATGACATGCAATGGAAATGATCTCTGATATTGATTAAAGTGTTCTTCAAAAAAAATTATTTAAAGTAGAGTGAACTATATTAATAAAACTCCTATGTTTTCTACCACAGTAATATCTAATTTGATGAAAATTACAGGTATTATTGTACAACAAAAAAAATATATATATATACCCATGTAAACTTTTCATGCATCTCAAGTCTTCAAAAAATAAATTTCTTTCAACCTGATGCACAATATCTTCTAAAACTAATAACAAAATACTAGATTAAAAATGTATGTTTTTTGGGGGGTGCAGCTGGTAGCATGGTGAAGGCAACTGGATCCCCTTAGCCAACTGCACAGTTTGAGTCTTGGACACTACAGCTTGAAAAAAAACACACCAGGTGTGCATGTATGTGCTCAAAATCCTGAAAAGACAATGGAGGAGAAGAGATGGCAACACAACCATTCCCCTCCCCGGGGGTGGGGGTTGGGGTGGGGGGATGCTTTCTTACCAACCTTCCTCATCTCTTTTGGGTGATTACATGTCCCCTAGAACAATTTTTTTTTTTCAATTCAGACACTATTAACAAAAATTAAAAATTTTTTTTGTCAGAGACCATTCCCTCTGATTGTTAATTATACAGATGAAACTCACTTCCACTGCCATCTATCTGCTTCTGGGTGATGTTCTCACATCCTTAGTTTTCTTATGCTCAATAAAGACAATATAAATTTGTTTTAATCTGACATCTCCTAAGGAAAAAAGTTATATATCATAGGTAGAAAACAAATTTTTCATTACTAAGATCTTTATGGAGCCAGTCCCACAGTCTTATGGGTAAGGCAGCCAGACCCCACACGGTCAATCGCTGTTCAAATACCAGCCCTAGTGGCTTGAAAAACACAGCGAAGGGATGTGCATAAGTGCCTAGAATCTCAACAGGATAGGAGAAGGCACCGGGGAGTAACCATGCCCCAGAGGGGGTGCTTTCTCCTCTTCCTCTGTGGCTCTCCAGCCTTCATCCAAGTTCTCTGGCAAATAAGAGAGAAAGAGCGATGAATCAATCGATCTATATATCTTATGACACCATCTCCCTTTTACTGCCATTAAAAATGAAAAAGAGAACCCAGTCACAGTGGCAGAGGCAAGCTTTGCTTGCTGTTGAGAGCCCTATGAGAGGCTCCAACTTTGGATTCAGGTGGACACACTGGGAATCCTGGCTGGCTGGAAGGCAGGGGTGGAGGTGAGGAATGGGAAGGGATCACAGCATGGCAGGACCCTCTGGGGGTGCTCCCTCCAGAGCACCATTAAATAAATAGATTAAATAAATACATTAAATAAATAGATCCTACTTGTATTCATCTAACATTGGTCAAAACTTTAATCAGATAAAGAATCTAATTTTTAATTGTTCCCATAAAATAATGCTAGCTATTACTAACATTTCTAAGAAAAGGGAAATGAGACTGACAAACAGCTCACAGTCTGTGGAATATAAAAAATTACACACTTGGTACCTGAGATTAAAAAGTACACTAGATCCAAAGACACAAACTTTAGATAACAACACTACACTGTATTCTACAAAATTCAAAAACCACAAAGCCTATATATGCTTATGTAACAGTGAGATTCCAGACAACATAATTTGGACAGAAAGAGGGGGGGGATATATATATATATACACACACACACACAAAATGTGTGTATACATGTATATATATATATAAAATATGTGTGTGTATATATAAAATATATGTGTATGTATATATTAAAATATATGTGTGTGTATATATACATATATACATATACACACATCAATTGAGTTTTTACCATGTTTGATCACTAGTCCCAGAACTGCACTTGAAATCAAAAACATGGGTAAAAATCAAACTTATAAATCTATAGAAGCTTTGACTAAAATTAAATAGATGATGAGTTCATGCGCACATTCATACCAGTGTCAAATAGATAAACAATAAAATTAAAAGATTGAACTTGTTTGCTCCTTTATTTCAAATTTAACTTATTTTTCCACAGGGAAAAAAAAATGGTAAAACAAAGAAAACCTAAGAACTGGCAATGTAGTCTTTCAACATAATTGATGTTTGTTACCACAGGGATATTGGGTCATCGGAAAAGTTATGATGCATTTTTGCATAGAAAATGTCATGATTTTTCTAATGACCCAGTAGTTACTGCTCAAATTTTTACTAGCTTACTAACTTTTTTATAAAAAGATATAAAAGTATTCACATTACTCAATCTGTATATTCTTTGGGTAATTATGGATACATCAAAAGATCTCTTGTAGGTTAAAACAAGTTGAAGAGATAGGCAATTAAAAGGAATAATTACATTCCTTAAATAAAATGATTATATTTTCTTCCTAATTTAAAACATAGAGATTTTTCATCCATTGCAAGTAATCCAACTGAAATGCAGGTTAATTATGAGCTTTCTCGTGCCAAAGAGGAAACTGGGGTAAGAGGAGGGTAAAGGGAAGGAAGCCATTTGGTACCTGATATGATCGGGCTTTTTCCTGTCATGTGAAAAAATGGGGCAGGATTAAAACATAAGGGAAAAGGTGGTAAAAGAATGAAAATGTAAATGTGCAAAATAAGCAAAGGACTAGCACGATACAAAAATAAAAGCAAGAATGAAAGGAACAAGCTTAAGCTCATAACCTCACAAAACAGTCAAAAGTTGCACTTTATCTTCCTCTTATACATATATGCATTTATACAATTAATTCCAACTTTTAGAAATCTGAAATGCTAGTATTTCAGAAATATTCTTAAAAATTCAAGTATTATCATAGAAAGTTCTGGTAGCTCTTAGCCTTAGCATATTTGAGCATACCTCTACTGTTTTCTGCCTGTATGGTCATGGCTAAAACATACAGACATTACCTCACCTCAACTGAATAGGTTGCTCCTAAAAATTAAAGGAAATAATCACTATGGTATATCTATATAAACCCAAGACAGGCAAAAACTTTTCAAAAGCAAAGTGAAACCACAATGTAAGAATTTCAGAGGTCATAAAATAGGACTCAAATAAACCTTTCTCCCACTTGCCCACCCCATTTTCATCAAATGAGGGCAGAACCTCTAAGGCCTGATGTAAGTAGGAGTCAACTTAATTCAATGTATAAACTACTTATTTCAAAACCAAAAGCCAATACAAACAAAATACTTAGATCTCTATTATACATCTGTATATGTACACAGCAAATAGAACATTTTGGCTTAAAATTTGGGGTTTATTTTATGCTTTTAGCTGTTTTTCTAATTCAAAAAAGAAATGAGCATAGCAAATAATTACTAAACTTTTTATTAACTTCTCCAAGTTATTATTAAATATACTAATAATTTGTTAAATAAACTAATTTTTCAGATTAACTAATTTTTCTTGTTCATTCATCTTTTCTGAATTTGTCATGAAAAGCAAAAGAGAAATACAAGTTCTAGCAATTCAATTAGCTGAGCCTGCAGGTAAACTGCCACACTGAGAAAATGACCTTATAAGGAAAAAATTACTGTGGTAGACCTCATATGTGTTTTCAGAAAAATATGGATTATACATGTATATGGTCAGAGATTCCGCAAACTAGCGATCTGAAACCAATCAGAAATAAGCTAGACAGTCCATCTAAAATGTAAAACTTCTCACTGCTTATACTATTTAAGTCACATCATACAAAATACTATCTATTCAGATAAACTGCACATTATACAAAGATTTCAAAATATACTTGCAATGTGTGAAGCAAGGGGTGAGGTTTTAAAACTATTTGGAAATTCCTATTTATACTCTTATTTCTTAAAGGAAGAAGGTCTTCAAAAAACTTTGTTTTGAAAATATTATATGCCATAATTATATAAAACTAAGTATATAGATAATGACAAATGTATCATTATATTATGATTTGTATCTTATGGTGACTGTGACAGAAATTACTCCCTAAACAATACAAAAAAATTCTTAAGCAGTGGGCAGAAAAATCTTCATATTTTAATTGCTGGGTTCCTGGATCTTAGAAGTGATGGCACAAATAGCACAAACACATAGTCCTTTACTCACAGTTCAATATACTAAATTAAACTGTGTAGGAAACTTATTAGAGGGACCAGCAGTTAGCGTAATGGCTATGTCGCTGGACTCCCAAGTAGTCGACTGCAGTTTGAGTGCCGGATCTGGTGTCTTAAACTCACACCAGGCACATGTATGTGTGTGCCCAGGATCCCAAGAGGAGAATGGAGGAGAAGGGATTGTGGCGTGGCCATCCCCCCTACGGGGTTAATTCTCACTTTCTGTCTCTCTGTCTCTTTCTGGCGAGCGTATGCGCCCTATAGCAAAATTCTCTCCAAAAAAAAAAAGAAAAGAAAATTTATTAGAGAAGTAGGGAAGACTCTAAAGTCAAATTGTGGGTAAAGAGAAATTATTTTAAAGTATTTCCTAAGATAGGATTCTTGACAAACTACATTTAAGAAAGTTAAATATATTTCAAAATTTTAATACTGATAAGCAGAAGAAATTTCTAAATAAGATTTAAAACATTACTCTCCTTTCATCCCCCTTTTATGTAGTCCCCTACTATATTCTAGAAAATACTTTTGTTACAAAATTTTGACTTTTATTTTTGTTTTGTATTTACGTTTTATATGTTTCTATGATACATTCTTTACAAATCTGCTTTTGACTAGTATTTTCTACAAAATGTCCTTAAAAGGCATATAAAAATAAAATTAATTTTGTTATTCATAATTCTTTCCTAATAAAATAGGGTTAGATGGTTTTTTTTTTTTAAGCAAACTTGTGTTTAATAGTTGAAGTTCTGTTTTATTAAATACAGAATGTCTGCAATATCCATAGCAAACAAACAAACAAACACGGGAAAAAATGCCAAAGAATACTTGAATTAAGAGTTCTGAATTCTGGGAACCAGCAGTTAGCGTAATGGCTATGTCACTGGATTCCCACGTAGTTGGCTGTGGTTCGCGTCCTGGACCCGGTGGCTTAGAACTCATGCCGGGCGCGTGTGCGTGCATGCCCAAGATCCTGAGAGGAGAATGGAGGAGAAGGGATTGCGGCATGACCATCCCCCCTGGGGGGTGATTTCTTGCTTTCTGTCTCTCTGTCTCTGTCTGTTGGGCGAGCGCACGCACCCTATAGCAAAAACCTCTCAAAAAAAAAAAAAAAAAG